AAAAGCCACAAAGTATTCTAGTTCTGTTTCTATTTCTGTGATAAATACCATGACCAAGGGCAACTTGGGAAGGGAAAGTTGTTTTGGTTTACACTTCCAGGTCACAATCACAGCTGGCGGAAGCCAAGGTAGGAGCCTGAAGCAGAGACCATGGAAGAGCACTGCAGACTGACTTTTTCTCAGGCTCACATGCAGTTTACACACTCTGCACTCACCTGTGTAGGGATGGCACCACCCACAGTGGGCTCGGCCCCTTCCATCGATTAGACATATAGGCCAAACTGAGGAGGCAATTCTTCAGTTGAGGCTCCCGGTTCCCAGGTGTGTCAAGATTAGCCATCAGAGAAAGGAGAGAGAGAGGATTAGAATGTTACAAGCCTCAAATTCAAATCAGGAGTGTCCCATGGAACAGAGAACTTGAACTTAAAAAAGGAAATTCAGTCTGACAGTTAATATATTCAGCACCTGTGAATTTATTTATAACCATTTCCTTGGCGTTGTATATGAATGGACTCCTTGGATCATTTTTTAGGGTGGAGTCACTCAAGCAGGCTGCTTACTCACTAACTGGCCCTCCACAAACCACATCCAGACAGATGATGTACTGAGCGAAACCAACACAGTGCTTTTGAAAATAAGAATTAGTTACTTGTCAAGTCGATGTTTTGGGTGTCTCCTTCACAAGCCACCTAAAAGGGCCACTTATTTAGTGCCCGGGGTACCAGCCAGTCTGGTTCCACTTCTAGTAGTCAGTCTCCATCTGCTGGCCAGGATTCCTGTCTGAATATTTCTGCATTATTTTAAACCGAGTCTTCACAGGACCTGAGACTTTCTCTCGAACCTCTAGTTAGTTGTGACACCAGCTGCTTCTGCCTCCTCTTTCTCCACAGCCATCTGGGAGTCTGTTTCCAAATCCTGACTTGTTTCTTAATGTTCATCTGCTCTTCTTACGTAAAATATATAAGGGTTTTGCAGAAACTAAACTTAGAGTTCTATTAATACAGATCCATATGAAAAGAGTTTATATATGGCTTAGGGAAAAATGAAGTCAGAGGTGGCATCCTTGAGATATTACTGCCATATGAGTGGTGATGATTGTGGACTCAAGGGGCAACACATGAAGGAAGCTGCTCAAAGAAGGCCATGTCTGTCTCTAGGTCTGCTCCTTCATTCCAGTGACTATCCAACTCTAGACCCACCTCAAGATGGAATGAAACTTACCTTCCTAAACACCTGCCCAGAGGTCTGGTTTCTAAAAAGCAACACAGGCTTCTTTCCAAAGGGGAGTTTGGCTCTGATTCTCCCCCTTCTTCCCCGCATCACTACATCACTACGTCACTACTGTGCGCTGCCCTTTATTCCTTCAAAATCCTACCAAGCAAAGAGAGAGCCAGTAGACTTGAACATGGGGTTATAAGGAGGTGAGGTGTGGAAAATACACAGTGTACCTTAAACGCTTATTGCTTAAAATTGAAATATAATTTAACTGATTAATAATTTTATATTAGGGCTGGTGAGGTGGATTACCAAACAAAGCCTAGAAATTGGAGTTTGATCTCCTGAACCCACATAGAGGTGGAAGGAGAGAACCAAATCCACAAAGCTGTCCTCTGTCCAAATGTGCAATGGAGCACAATACCCCCCACACACACACACACATCACATCCACACAGTCATAAATAAAAATAAAATAAACATATTTAAAATAATTTTATGTTGACTATTAAAACAACACACACACACACACACACACACACACACACACACACACACACACACACACACAGAGTAGCAGTAGCTCCAGAGGAAGAGGCACAGCTCCACACTATAGCCTGCCTCCTGGGGAGTTTCTATAATCTTTTAGGGACTGCCACTCACACAATGCAGAAAGGAATTTTAGGATGAGCCTGAATGAAGCAGAATCAGAGTTTATTGGAAAACTTTTTAAGATTTCACTCTCTTTTTATTTTTGAGAATGTGGTGTGTTTGTGTGTGTGTGTGTGAAGGCTGCCACAAAAGCCAGAAGAGGGCATCATATCTCTTGGAGCTGAGTTACAAGCAGTTGTGAGCAAGCTGATGTGGGTGCTGGAATTGAACTCTGGTCCTTCGGAAGAGCAGCGAGTGCCACTCCTCCAGCCTCATTTAAAAATTTTAATTGAAAATATTTCTTTTTTTTGTTTTTCCAGACAGTTTCTCTGTGTCCTTGATGGTCCTGGAACTCACTCTATAGACCAGGCTGACCTGGAACTCACAGAGATCTGCCTGTCTCTGCCTCCAGAGTGCTGGAATTAAAGGTGTGAGCCACTACCATCCAGTGACAATTGAAAATATTTCTGTGTAAAAGGAATATTGTCTTTTTGCTGGAAGCCTTCACAGCAAATGTCATTTATTGTGTTGGAATCTTTGTTTCTCAGTTCCACATTGCTTCTTTCCCATGCCCCCCTGACTTTCCATCCTTGTTTTTATATATTGAGCTAAGCAGAATATATTAAAATGAACCTACCTGTTTTGTTTTATTAATTACCATGGGGGTTGATTATGAGGGGTGCACATAACACAGAGAACACGTGGAGGTCAGAGGACAACTTTGTGGAGTTGATTCTCCCTCTCCACCTTTACGGGGTCCTGGGGGTCGAACTCTGGCCACCAGACTTGTGCAGCAGACACCTCCACTCACTGAGCCATCTGGCTAGCCCTAATGCCTGTTTCTTCTTCACTTTTCAAATTATTCCTTCCAGAAAATTTCAGATTCTATGAGTCTCCTATGTGTGCCCTCCATTTTTTTTCTGTTGGGCGGTGATGTCTCCAAACATCTCTTGCATTGATCCTAACCTTTGTGTTCTTAGCATCATCACATTAGCCTAGTCCCATGCTCCATCGCTCCAAGAATGTCATGTCAGTTTCCTAAAGGCTTCAAGGCCTTCTAATTTGATCTTCACACACTGGCCGAGTTTATCTGCCTAAGACACTGCTTTTATCATGACACACTCCTAGGCAAAAACTAACCCCCTTCTCTGCCCCCACCGAGTCTAACTGTTTAATCACAAGCTGATAACAGGCCCCACTTTAAAACCTTACTGGGCATGCCATCGAATACTTCCAGGAACCTAGCACCAAAACTGCCAGGCTCTTGACTCTTTCGACCAAACTGAAAGGCCCGCAGCACTTGGCAGAGCCGAGACGTGAAGGGAGATGCAGCTGGGACCGGAGGGGGAGGTTGCAAAGATGGAGAGGTTAACATGCAAAGGGTGGTTCTTTACACTTGGTTTGGTTCATACAATGCCTCACAATTGGATTGCCCCTGGAGCAATCACCAGGGGTAGATCTGCTAGCTGACAGAACAACTGACTTGAGAAGATAAACTGTTATATTTTTAGTTTGGAAAAATCAAACTGGAGAACCAACCAGAAAAGCTCATATGTGAAACAGGCCCCTCTTGCTCATCCATTCTAAGTCTAAAATTCAAATATCAGTGTATGATGTGTACAGTTTTGTCATGAATTGGGGGAATATGGCTGTGCATGGTGGCTTGTTTCTATAATCCTAGCCTCTGGGAGGCCAAGGAAGGAGGATCTATCACCGTATGCTCGAGGAGAGTGTGGACTACAGCCTGAGAGATTGTCTCAAAAAAAAAAGAAAGAAAAAATGAGGTGACTGAATATGAATTGAATTGCTGCAATCTAAAGAGCTATGACATACTAAAATAATAATGATAATAATAATAATAATATTTCAGGGGCTGGAATGATGACTCAGCACTTAAAAGCTATTGATGTCAAACTGATGACTGGAATTCAGTTTCCCAGAACCCACTCCAGACATGTCACAACTGTACTCAAGTATTTAGCTTGGGAAGTAAATCTCCTGTGTTAGAATGCATCTCAAATTACATGAGCTTCACACTGTCCTGTCTTCAAGACGTTACCCCTTTCACATTCTATTCTAGGTTCTTCCATTTCTATAAATCGAATGTCTCGCCAAATACTGTCGAGCAAAGGTGTTTGGCACACAAGTCTTGAAAGAAGACCAGTTTACATGCCACGGCATATTGTCGGTTTTAGATGCATTGTCTAGCAAGGACTTCAACTGCGTCTTCAGTAAATCGGGTATGAATGTATTTTCCACACAAGATTCCATAAGAAGGAGATAATGTCATGTTAATGCAATGCTTGGGATTAGCAAGAAAGCTCTTTCTCAACCGTAGGGCTGTGGGTGGCTTCTTATCAACCTGACCACAGCAGCCTTTCAGGGAACTTCTCTCCAAGAAGTTTAAGGACTCTCCAAGAGGGCGGGGCTTTGATGTCTACTGATTTCAACTCTTCTGTAAGCTTAACGGGCGGGGACCGAGGACAGGCTTGGGAAAGCAGGCGTCCGCCCGCCTCCTTGGCGTCGTCCCTGACGCTCTGGCAGGCCTGAGGACAGCAGCTCCACTCCTCCTCCCCCAACCCTGGACGCTCTGGCAATGAAAACACCACCACGTGGCCTGCTGCCTTTGCCTCGCGCACCTTCAACCAATGGCAAGCGGTGTCTCCGAATCGGGGGCGGGTCGTCAGCGACGGCCCCGCCCACTGCCACCACTGATTGGTCAAAAAAAAGCTGGTGGCCAATCGTGGTTGGCTGAGGAGGCCCTGTTCTGTCAGCTGTTCGGTTCCCGAGTCAAGAGGCGGGGGTGGGTCCAGGGCCCGGTTGGGGAGGGGGCGGGGCTAGAGGCAAGGCCGAACGAAGTGGAAGAGGATCGGGCCGGGACCTGGTGGGGAGCGGGCGGGGCTAGGTGCAGGGGCGAGGCTAAGTGGGAAATGGGTTGGGGCAGGTCTAAGGGGACTCAGGTAGGGCTGGAGCTGGGAGGGGCGGGACTCGAAGAAGGGGCGGGGCTAAGCACTACTTGGGCGGGGAAAGGGTCCGGCTAGTCCAGGACCGACCTGCAACTCTGAGGGGGTGGGCCTAGAGAGGGGCGGGGCCAAGTGGGATCCGAGTAGGCGGGGCTTGCCTGGGGGCGAGACCGGGGCGGGACCGAGGCGGCAAGCCGGCGGACGGAGCCGGCGCGGGCGGGCTGCTGAGGTGGCTGTCCCCCGCTCCAAGCTGCGGCTTCCCGGGTCGAGCCCCTCATGGAGGCCGAAGCCGCAGATGCCCCTCCGGGTCGGGTGGAGGCGGCGCTCAGCTGCTTCTCTTTCAACCAAGACTGCACGTAAGCCACGGCGCCAGCCCCCTGGCCAGGGAAGTGGGGGACAGAATGTCGCCACCAAAGGGTGTTGTCCTGTAACGCAACTGGTGGCCAGCCAGGGCTGGCCCGCGGACGGTACCTCGGTGGGGCAGCCTGCGTCGCGGGGTTGCTCCGCAGTGGGGCTTGAACCCACCCGGACGACCCCTCCCTCCACTGCCGGCGCCTGCCAGAAGGGGCTGGCCAGGGTGACCCGAAGAAGTCAGCCAGGAGTAGGGTGGAGGGGGCCTTGAATGTGGGGGGCCTGGTGTGGGCCACCTAGTGACTGAAGGGAGATCTGGGACCAAAACAAAGGCGACGGGAGGGGGGGGAAGGTGCAACTTGACTCAAGAGGATGAGAGAGTTGGGAAGATGGGGAAAACTTTACTGTTTGTCCTTGAGTATCTCAACGTGGCGTTTGGGCAGGGCCTCGGACAAAGAAGCAGCTTATCCCCGTGGCCAGGCCAGCCCCAGCAACGGGGCATCCTGGCTGGTGGCTTGGCTGTAGGAAGCTTTCTTTTACATTTCCCTTACTGTGTTTTCTTACCGTCCACCCAGTCCCACGAATCTCCTCCGGGAAGCTCAGGAGCCCTTTCTCAGCCCCAGACAGCTTCCCATCCCGGAAGGAGGAGCTCCACCCTGTTGCTTTTAAGTGGATTTTTAATGTTTCACTTTGATGGTCAACATTTAGACTTTGGTCCACGAACAAGGAATTACGTTCTAGGCTTAGGCAGGATTAGATCTTAGAATCAAAACAGAAGCACACTTCTGTTTCCTTCCCTGTTTTCATGGAAGCCAGCCTGAGGACCATATGGAATAATCTCTTTGGAATGTGGAGCCCTGAAGCATCAAGCAGCTAGGGCAGGGATGAGCACTTCCCAGTGTCCCACTTCCGGCTGTACCAGTTTCTGCCTTGTTCCTTGTTTGGAGTCAGCTTCAGGCTTGGGCCTTGGCTGCTGGTGGCTGAGCTGTGCTAATATTGAACATTCGGTGGTGTAATTAAGGACATAAGCAGCCCTGGTTTCCATTCCCTTTGTGTTTCTGTCTGAAAACCTCTGCTCTGAACAATATGTCTTTGTTTGAAAAATCTGTATGTGTAATCGTAATCGAGTAACTCAACAGTTTGGTTGGATGAGTGACTCTCAGGCTGCCTCTGACCACAACCCACATTAAAAAGTACATATTACAACATCTCCCAATAGCCATAGACACGTAATAATAATATTCACAAACTATTAAGTGTGGTACACTCTTGGGATTTTCTTGGTATTTTGTTCTCGTTTTGTTTTGAGACAGTCTCGTGTAATCCAGATGGCCTTGAACTCCCTAGTAGATGAGGATGAATTTTAAATTCTGCTCCTCCTGTCCCTGTTCTGGAATGCTGGGATTATAGGAAGTATCGTCGTATCATCATACTGTAGTGCTGGGAATGAAATCCAGGGTTTTATGCATGCTAGACAAGCCTAACCCTATCCCTATTGTCGTGTGTGTGTGTGTGTGTGTGTGTGTGTGTGTGTGTGTGTGTGTGTTGTGTGAGATGGGGTGGGGTGCATAAGGTCCAATGTCTCAATCACCCTTAGCAAAGACTCAACCACTGAGCTACATCCCAGCCTCCAGGCCCTGGAATTTTTATGTCTTCATTTGTTTTTAAAGCTGTTGTAACCTGTTGAGTTGTTTTTGGGGATCCTCTGGAGATGAGACTTAAATGCATGATAAAATAGATAAAATTCTGAAGTTTTGTAAGAAACTTTTGCAAGAGTGTATGCCTGTTGAAATGCTGGGCAGTGTTTTCCTTCCCACTTGAACATAGGTTAAAAAGGGGGGGGGTTAGTTTACTTACAAGTAGTAAATCATCTAAATTACACTTCCTGATATTATTGGATTCGGAAAACAAATGTTATTGTCTACTCTAGTTATTAAATAATACAGAGTAACAGTCGGATAAGAATTCTGTTTTTCAAAACTGCAAGGTGCTTTGAAAGTTGATTTCCTTGGTCCCTCCTGCAGCTCTGCTTTCCTGGGTGAAGGCTCTTCTGGGCAGCGCTGTCTTACCTATAAATAAAGGACTTGTCACAGTCAGTTGCTTGGAGCCCTGGAGGGTATGACATTGAATTTTAAAATAAATCATCTCCCTTGCTGGATGCATTTGGGAGAATTGGTGTGTCTTTTTCTATATGTATGAGCGAGCTTGGGGGTCCAGTCTGTCTAGAGAAGATAGATAAAGAGAATTAAATTGTCAACTACCTCATTCTTAATGGTTTAGAGCTGGGCTAGACACCTTGGGTGTATTTTAAAACTTGTGATCCGGATTTGTCTCAACTCCACGTCTATGAGCATTGATGAGAAGTTTGTTTTTGTGGAAAGGACTTATGGATAAAATAAGACATAAATCTGAAGCCCTTGATTTGGAGTCTTTTAGGGTCCTAGAGCAATCATTTAGAATAAAACAGCGATAAGCGTGCTCTTCTCTCACGAGCGCAACCCTTCTGAGCCCAGTGTGGCAGCTTGTGAGGAATCCTAGGCCCTCCAGAGGCAAGAGTAGAAAGATCACTTCAGCCAACAACCTCAGAGGCAGTGTGAGTAGCAGAGAGAGACCCTTTGACAAACATAAAATGAAGAAATAAAGAAGAAACTCATTTGTCCCGGAATCAGAACTTATGCCTGAAAATTAAGGTTTTGAACTTAGTTTATTACTGTGTGTAATTATACATGATGGGGTGGGGGAGGGACACACTGGCCACAGTGCGCATGGGAAGGTGGAGTTGGACCTTCTCCTTCCACCTTTTCCCAGGGTCTGGGTTCAAATCCAGATCGCCAGGCTTACAGCTGAGCCACCTCACCAGCCCTTGACAACCCCTTTAAATTGCTAAGCCTTTTGGTTAATTTGTTGTTGCTGTTTTGGGTGGAGCTTGCTTTGTTTTGTTTATGTAGTCCTGGGTGCCTTCCAACTGGAGATCCACCTGCCTTGACCTCCTCTCCCAAGTGTTGGGATTACGCATCTCTTTTAGTTTTGTTTTAGGACTCTCCTGTGTCTTCTCTCCTTACCTGCAAGCTTTACATCTTCCGTTTGCGACTCAATGTGCCTACACTTATAAGAAGAGAGTTTAAAACCACTCATCAGGGCTGAGGCTGTCACTAAATTAGTAGATGCTTGTCTCAGATGCATGAAGCCCTGGGCTCCGTCTCTAGCACGTTTACAAGGCCAGCCTGGGCTACATGAAAACTGCATCCGAAAACAAAACAAAAACCCAGAGTGGCAACCACTCCAGTGTATTTTAGAGTTCAAAGATACTCCTCCCCTACTTTTACAGCCGCTGGCATCTGTCCGCAGTGCAGATGCCAACCCCCAAGCTTCACTGTCCTGTAGCAGCAATGAAGCTGTCCACAGGACGAGCACGGCCACTCCTCAGGTCCGAGGGCTCCTGTGTGCCTTGCTGATTAAAGGTTGATGGTAGATGCTTGTTCCTATATCCTAGGAAAGAACAGATGTTTGCATAGAAAAGGGAATTCTGGAGGAAAATAAAAATCATGTGACCCTCTCTTTTTTAGGTATCGAAACAAGAGGCTTGGCATCCAGGCTTCTAAGTTGCTTATTTTAGTATATGCTTCTCTGTGAAGGACGAATCTCAGCTTGGCATATATTTACTGTCAATGGGGAAGTTAGATTGAACCATTGGGAGGCCCATTTCAACCCTGACATTCCATATTCCTAGGGCAGAAGTCCTTGTGGTCACACGGCTTATCCTGAGAGTGTTCTCTGCACGGTTTTGGTCTCATTCAGTTTTTGAGAACAAAGCAAGAGAGGTGAGAGGTGATTTTGAAATGCCAACTAGAGGCAACATATTTGCTTTCTCTTTTCCTTTTTTGGGACACAGTCTTGTCATGTAGTACAGGCTGGCCTCGAATGTATGGTCCTCTTGATCGGCTTTTGAGGGCTGGGGTTGCACCTGGTCACTCATTCTGTTTTCATCACGTCACCAAGGATACCTGGCATCTTAGTTTGCTTTCCACTGCTGTGATTAAACACTATGACCAAAAGCAACATGGGGAGGGAAAGGTTTTAGATCACTTACCGCCCATCATGAAGGGAAGGTCAGGTAGTACGGAGCTCAAGCCAGGACCCGGGAGGCAGGAAATGAGGCAGAACCATGGAGGAGTGCTGCTTACCAGTTTGCGCCTTATGAGTCACTCGACTTGCTGTTTTATTCCACCGGGACCACCTGTCCAGGCATGGCACCACCCACAGTCGGATGAGTACTCTCACATCACTCATTAATCAAGAAAATACCCCCACCGACTTACCTACAAGCCAGTCTGATGGGGAGGCGTTTTCTCCGTCAAGGTTCCCTCTTCCCAGATGACTGTAGCTTGTATCAAGTTGAGAGAAAAAAAAAACCAGCAACTTGGGTTTATACCTTCCCTTTATTTATGAGTTAAAAGTGGAAAATTGGGGCTGGGGTGATAGCTGAGTCAGTGAGAAGATGTAGATTTGAGCCCTACAATCGATTATGATATTGTTAATAGTAATAATAACATAAAGGAAGGAAGGAAGGAAAGAAGGAAGGAAGGAAAGAAGGAAGGAAGGAAGGAAGGAAGGAAGGAAGGAAGGAAGGAAGGAAGGAAGGAAGGAAGGAAAGAAAAAAGCTGGATGAGTTGGTGTATGCTTGTAATCCCAGCTCTGGGGAGGTGGAAACTAGCAGATCCCTCCCTGGGCTGGCTAGCCAGCCAGCCTTGACTATCTGCTGAGCTCCCTGATGTGTGGACAGCACATACAACACACACACACACACACACACACACACACACACACACACACACACACACACACACACGAGCATGTACATACACATAATGATAATTACTCACCCTGCGGTAAAGGGCTTCCCAAACAAACAATAAGACGATCTCTCAAGCGTTGTGGAAGTGGAGATACAATGACTGTCCCTAAGCATACCTTTTTTCTATGCCTGCCCAGCTGGCAAAACAAGATCTGTCGGAGCTTTGACATTTTGCGTGGTGGCAGAGCCCAGGCACTTTCTGCCTCTTAAGAAGTCTCCTTTGACCTTTTTCTCTTTTCCTCATGACTGTCTGCCAAAGTGTGCTTTGCCTTGAGAGGGTTATCAAGGATCTGAGTCCTGAAGATGTCTGTTGACCTGCACTTAGCAGCCTCTGGGGAAAGAAAGGGCTGTGAGTGCTCAGACAGGGCTGTGGTTGGGGTGTGGTATCTGTTGTCATACCCATGATGTCATTGTCTTCCGCAGGTCCCTAGCAATTGGAACCAAGGCTGGCTACAAGCTGTTTTCTTTGAGTTCTGTGGAGCAACTTGACCAAGTCCATGGAAGCAGTAAGTGTGTGTGTGTGTGTGTGTGTGTGTGTGTGTGTGTGTGTGTGTGTCTGTCTGTCTGTCTGTCTGTGTGTATCTATATGGTTGAAGGGACACCAAATCCACCCCCTAGACATCAGTCCTTCTTTTTTTTCTTCATTTTATTTATTCTTTTTGGAGTCCTGGGTATTGAACCCATCAGCCTCTTAAAAGCACTCTACCACCAAGACTATGCCCCAGCCATAGACTTCAGTCTTGAGGTTCTGGTTTCTGTATTAGCCATCAGCCTAAAGAGTTGGTGTTGTGCAGATTTGAATACAAACCATTGTCTCCTCTTGCATAAAAGCCACAATGAAGCTCTTATTGAAATTTGGCAATAACCTAAGTGACATTTTCTTCTTTGTAAGAAGAAAGCCCTTGTGTGAAATTATATTGCTGATGCTTTTCTATATATCTGTGCTCATGGCGATCAGTTTTTGTCATTGTCCACCCAAAGGGGACACCTGTTGCTTCTTTTGCTGTTACACTGGCTCTGTAGCCTATTGACACCATTCACTTAGTAGGGACATGTTTTATGTGCTTGACTGAAGTAACACAGTCACATCTGTGTAGCACGTATTAAAGATGCTGAAGTATTTCTAGTGAGTATTAAAAATAATACCACTTAGAAATGTGTCTGTGATTTTTCTCAGGGTAATAATTTATGCTGTTGCCATAGCGACAAATACTTCACCTCTACCTTTTCTGCAAAGAAAATGGTTTTGTAAATAATTGGGGCTCCTAATTTATTGTTTATTTATTTTTAACCTCTGTGTGTGATAGCGATGTGTGCATGAGAGGGTGTGTGCCCATTCACATGTATCCATCCTCACCTTCCACCTGGAGACAGTCTCTTTGTTGTCTACCGTTGCATATCTGGAGCAAGCTGGACTCTGAGCTTCCGGGGATTCTCCTGTCTCAGTCTCCCTTCACATAGACACTGGGATTAGAGACCTGTGCTCCCACATCCAGCTTTCCATGGGCTGTCGGGCTTTGAACTCAAGTCCTCATGTGTGCACACCGAGCCATCTCCTCTGCCCTCGGCCCCTAATTTATTTGTAAGATGTTGTTATTATTATATCACTGTTGTGACTGTTTTGCTGTGTATATGTCTCATGTCATATTTCCGGTGGGACTTCCCTACAAACAAGCAAGAAAGCCGAGTAACAACATGGCCTCAGGAAGACACCAAGGCCTTGTCCGTAGTACTCTGGAGGCTTCCCTTCTGAGTGCACAAGTATTTTCTTGCACCAAGTATGGTGGTGCACACCCATAAAAACCCAGCATTCAGGAGACTGAGGCAGAAAGATCATGAGTTCAAGGCCAGCCTGGGTCATAGAGCAAGATTCTGTTTTAAAGGGGCTAGGGAGGGGCTAGTATGGATCTGTGGTAAAGTTGCTTGATGCCAAGCCCCAACCAACTCTTGCAAGTTGCCTTCTGACCTCCACATGTGTGTTGTAATATGCACACATATGCACATACACAATAAACTCTGTGTGTGTGTGTGTGTGTGTGTGTGTGTGTGTGTGTGTGTGTATGTGTGTGTGTGTGTTTAGTGGGTAATTCTGCCCTGCATTCCATGCATTGGCTCTGGAAATCCTGGCTTTGTGTCTTAGTCATTAGCATTGTCTTTGCTTTATGTATGTGGGAAGGTCCCTGGAAGTGTTACCCCTGGAGACAGTTATAACTTGCTGTTGGGGCCAGGGTGGGTCATTACTGATGAAGGATACCCAGCAGCAAGACCCAGAGCCCATGTGTGAACTAGCCTGTGTAGTACCCAGGGTCACAAAGTCCAGAGTCTTTCTCAAAGAGGCCATCTGTGGGACCTCACTCCTGCTTCCCCTCACAGATGAAATCCCCGACGTGTACATTGTGGAGCGCCTCTTCTCCAGCAGCCTGGTGGTGGTGGTCAGTCACACAAAACCTCGGCAGATGAACGTGTACCACTTCAAGAAAGGCACTGAGATCTGTAATTATAGCTACTCCAGCAACATTTTGTCCATACGGCTGAACCGGCAGGTGAGGAGGTGGGACCCCCAAGGTTTCTAGGCTTCTGCAAATTAGAGTGTCTTTGGGCTAGCTAGATGGCTCAGCAGGTAAAGGCACTTGTCACCAAGCCTGGTAAGCTGAGCTCAGTCCCAGCCACCCTCATAGTAGAACAAAACTGACTCCTGCAAGTTGTCCTCTGACCTCCGTATACATGCAATACATGTCCATGCATACACAGACAGAAATAAATAAATGTAATAAAAAATTTTTAAGATGAATGTCTTTGAGGTATAGCTCAGAATGCTTGCCTGGCATGTGCAAAGCCCTGGATTTGATCCCCAGTTCCCCATAGACAGAGTAGCATGGTGGTGTAAACCTGTGGTACCAACTCAGGAGGGAACCTGTGATGTCAGCACTCAGTAGGTAGAGGCAGGAGAATCAGAAGATCAAAGCCATCCTTCTTGGCAATATAGCAAGTTTGAGCCTGGCGTGGACTACATGAGACCCTGTCTTAAAAAAAAAAAAAAAAGAGCCGGGCGGTGGTGGCGCACGCCTTTAATCCCAGCACTCGGGAGGCAGAGCCAGGCGGATCTCTGTGAGTTCGAGGCCAGCCTGGACTACCAAGTGAGTTCCAGGAAAGGCGCAAAGCTACACAGAGAAACCCTGTCTCGAAAAACCAAAAAAAAAAAAGAGTCATTGTCTTAAAAGCAGGTGTCAAATGCTGTAGATAACTTAACAGTACTTTTAACAGCAGACTTGGGCTCATGGGGGAAGTATAAAGAGCATCTACTTCATGCATCTTCCCCAGTCATACTGGCTCATATTGTCTCTCTGGCAACATGATGGAATGCCCATTGCCTGGCCAAGCTCACCATCTCCTCTTGGTGCAGGCTGGGCACCAACATGGAGAGGTTGGAGCTCTGACACAGGTCTGTTGTACGAGCTGCCTTAGGACATCCACAATGAGAAGAAGACCTCTTTATGTCTTGGCCCTAGGCAGTAAGATTTATTGTGCACAGTGGTCCTGCCTCTGAGAATGGCTACCTGAGACTAGGGTGTGGTCCCCCGGGTCAGCTATGACCTTCTGCTCTATCCTTGGCCTTTTCTGATCAGTCAGCTACACAGTCTTGTGTTTCTGCCTTTGCAGCTAATACCCACGCCTTCCCTGCCATGCAGGGGATTGAACCTAGAACATCTCTCAGTTTAGGGAGAGCTACACCACTGAGCTAGATCTACAGCTCCTCCAGCTAACTCTTAAGGATATATTCTTGTAGTGTTTTCATTGTTGAAAGGAAAATTACTCTCATCTCAAATATACAGTATGCCTTAAAAAAAAAATTAGCACTTAGGAGGTATTTAGTGTGTTAGCATACCCTTCCTGGGTGACTGGGTTTTACGTCCTGTGAAAGCAGGGACTGTGGCAGTTCTGTTCATTACTATGAGACCTGATGGGAGAGAACACTTGAGCACTTTTTCCTGCCTAACTGTTAAATAAGTGGATAAACCAAGAGTCCCTTCCTGGGATATGCAGTTATTGTCTCGATTCAGTATTCCTAGGAACAGGGAATCGGTGGCATTCCTTGAGGATAGTGGTTTCTTCATCTTCTTCTTCTCCTCCTCCTCCTCCTCCTCCTCCTGCTCCTCCTCCTCTTCTTCTTTCTCTTCCTTTTCCTCTTCCCCTTCTCCTTCTCCTTGAATCTGAACTATTAAATGCTGATTAGTGCCGGGCGGTGGTGGCGCACGCCTTTAATCCCAGCACTCGGGAGGCAGAGCCAGGCGGATCTCTGTGAGTTCGAGGCCAGCCTGGGCTACAGAGTGAGTTCCAGGAAAGGCGCAAAGCTGCACAGAGAAACCCTGTCTCAAAAAAAAACCAAAAAAAATGCTGATTAATAATTTTTAAGACATTTTTATTTTATGTATATGAGTAGTTTGCCTACATGTATGTATACCACATGCATGCAGTGCCTGATGAGGCCAGAAGAGGGTGGTGAATCCCTTGCAACTGGAATCACAACTGGAGTTACAGGCTGTTGTGGTCCGCCCCAGAGTTGCTGGGAACTGAACTCAAAATCCTCTGCAAGAGAAGCCACTGCTCTTAACTGCCAATCTGTCTCCAGTCCTATGGGTTTTGTTTGTTTGTTTGTTTTGTTTTTGTTTTTAAATAATGAAATCAAGTATTTTGTTAAGTTTCTGAGAAGGAAAAGATTGTTCCTTTGAGGTTTTTGTTTTGTTTCATTGAGATAGTCTCATTCAGTAGCCTAGGCTAGCCTGGAACTCAAAGTGATCCTCCTGCTTCAGCCTCCACTCCCGCAAATGCTGGGAATATAAGAGTGAACACCATACCTGGCTTGTTGCTTTGAGTCCATCAGCTATTTTGACTGAGTATCCACTAAATTCATAGAAAACAGCCACAGAAGCAGAAGATGGAAAATTTCAGTGACACAGAGCAGGCAAGAGACAGAAAAGAAGGCTGAGGTCTCAGCAAGAGAAAGGAGGGCAGCTTTGGAATTTCCTACTTGAGAGATTTCACGTGGGGTTCTTGGCTCAAGCATGCCCTCGGACCTGTTGCAAGTTTTGTTGCAGAACCTTCTGTTTTGCGCACAGTAGCCAGCTTATGACAGCTAAATGTCTGTTTGGTACCTGGCAACCTTTTAAACATGACTTAGTAAATGTTATCCCAACCAGAGCTCCCAAGTAATACTCATGGAATTTGCTGGTATGATTTCTCAGGGAGTCTCATTAGCAAACGAGGCAAGAAAGAACTACCTAAGTGTCTGAGTCTGTCAGACTGTAGGCACCAGCCTCCACTCCACAGAGCACTCATTGACTTCAGGTTCTCGTTCCCCATCTTCTGGAGAACACAGTTGTAGGCAGCCCCACTCCACAGTTAGTGCTGGAGCTAGCAGCAAGCCAGAGCTAATGGCCGTACCTTTAGCCTTTTTGTCTTCCAAGATGACTTGATGCAGATCTGGAAGGGGTTCTGGTTTTCTTTTCTTAAAGTTGCCAGGCTTTGTACTTAATTTTTGGTTTAGGCAATTCATCTGCTGAAAGGAAGTCTTGCAATGCCTGCAGAGCTGTCTGCCCAGGGGAACGGTAAAGGGCTCAGGGTGCACATGTATTGCCCTACAGCAATCACCCTGCATTTGTTAATTCTTCAGACATATGACTTGTAGCTAGAGTTTTCCTGCCTGGCCCACAGTCAGGACAAATCTCTCTCACCCGCCAGTCCCACAGCTGCTCAGACCCAACCAAGTAAACACACAGAGACTTATATTGCTTATAAACTGTATGGCCGTGGCAGGCTTCTTGCTATCTAGTTCTTCTATCTTAAATTTACCATTTCTATTAGTCTATAAGTTGCCACGTGGCTCGTGGCTTACCAGTACCTTACATTTCACTTGCCATGGCGGCGGCTGGCAGCATCTGTCTGCCTCAGCCTTCCACTTCCCAAGAATTCTCCTCTCTCCTTGTCCTGCCTATACTTCCTGCCTGGCTACTGACCAATCAGTGTCTTATTTATTAACCAATCAGAGCAACACATTTAGCATACAGAACATCCCACAGCAATGACTCCTTTTTAAAAGCAGGAAAAATGGCAGATTTATGTAAGAAGTTACAAAGAAACAAAAATCCATGTTCTCAAATAGGGCCTATTAGTGCACTCCTGTAATCCTAGCACTTGGGAGGACAAGGCAGGATAATGGCACATCAAAGGATAGCCTGGGCTATACAGAATAGGACTCTGCCTCAAAACAGAAGCTTATTTTCAAGGCCAGGAATGAAGCCCAGCTGGTATAGTGAGTGCTTGCCAACCATGCACAAAGCCCTGGGTTCACCACATAAAACCAGGTGTGATGATGCATGCCTATAATCCAGCGCTGGTGAGGTAGAGGAAGACGAGAAATTCAAAGCCATTCTCTGCTGTATAGCAAATTACAGGGAAGCCTGGGCTGCAAGAAGACCCTGTCTCAAAAAACCAAATATACCCATTCACAAAATAAATAGGTAAATAAAAAGAAGAACAAGGGCTGGGAGATGGCTCATTGGGTAGGCATGCTTGCTGTACTTAGCAGGAGGACCTGAGTTGAACTCCCAGTCAACCATGTAAAAAGCTAAATGTGGCTGCACACACACACACACACACACACACACACACACACACACACACACACACACCTGTAACTGTAGTGCTGTGGGAAGTTGAGGTCCACTCACCTCCAGCCTCGATGGAAAATTCCAGCTCCAGATGCAGTGAGAGACCCTGCCTCCAAAGAACTAAGCGGAGAGTGGTGGGAGGACACCTGACTTCCTTCTTTGGGTCTGCATGTTCACCCTCACACACATATGTGCATGTGTAGCACACATATACCCCATTCACAAAATCCCTCTAAATATGCAGAAAGCAAAGGGGCTTAGAGATCCTGATATGTTCCATTTTCAGTTAATGTCATTCCCATGTGGTTAATGCAGACATGTGTTTTCTTAGATGACAGCCATTCACTAGATGTTGTTAGATATGGAAGCTTTCATAGTTATTTAACCCTCTGCTTCCTGTTAGCCCGCTGCAGGTTGATTGAGGCAGATGCTTAAGGCAGATGTCTAATTCTTTAACTGATGAAAAGGATTAACTAACTACCTATGAAACATAAGATGAAAGTCAAAATGGGCTGGGGATGTAGTTTAGTTGGCAGAGTGTTTGCCTAGCATGCTCGAAGCCCTGGGTTCAATTCCCAGCACCACATAAAACCAGAATTGGTGATGCATGCCTGCAACCCCAGCACTTGGGAAGTGGGGATGAGAAAACCAGAAATTCAAAGTCAGTCTGGGCTACATAGGGGGTTTGAGGTCAGCCTGGGCTGCATAGGGAGTTTGTGGTCGGCCTGGGCTCATAGGGAGCTTGTGGTCGGCCTGGGCTACAAGATGAATCGCAGTGGTGAGCTGAAGGCAGGTGTGGCTGGAGCTGTAGAGCAGCTGGTAACAGCAATCGCCAGCTTGTGCTTGTTCCGGAAGCCAGCTTTGTGTGACTCAGGACAAGTACTTCCTCATACCCTCCCTGCGTTTCCTGTTTCCCTCCCTTTTCATTCTTGTCTCTGGCTAGCATGGTGGTGACCCAGTGGGGTCCAGATGAGTGGTCCACAGAGCTGACAACACTGTAATGATGCTGATCAGGTCAGATGAGCCTAAAGATGATGTTCCTTCAGGAGCAACTGTCAGGGCCCCTCTCTCCTAAGAACTGGGTGCAGGGCTGAAAGGGAATACCAGAGACTATTAGAAACACAGAACAGAAACAAACATAGAAAAAGATAAAAACTAACCCTGGCGTGGCTGGCAGAAGGCAAAGTGATCAGGTGACCACTTCACAGAGAAGTGGCAGTATTTTGAAAATTTTTCAAAGTATCTTTTGGTAAGTTTTTGTTTGTTTTTTTTCGAGACAGGGTTCTCTGTGTAGTTTTGGTGCCTGTCCTGGATCTCGCTCTGTAGACCAGACTGGCCTCGAACTCACAGAGATCTGCCTGGCTCTGCCTCCGTGCCCCCCCCCCCCCCCCCCCCCCCCCCCCCGAGTGCTGGGATTAAAGGCATGTGTTACTGCCGCCGACTGGTAAGTTTTTAAAAATCTTTTCTGGGGGGCTGGAGAGATGACTCAGTGGTTAATAGCACTGACTGCTCTTCCAGAGAACCCAGGTTCAATTTCCAGCACCCACATGGCAGTTCACAACTGTCTGTAACTCCAGTTCCAGGGAATCTGACACCTTCAGACCAATGCACATAAAATAAAGTTATTCTGTGTATGAGTGTTCTACCCACATTTATGTATGTGTACCACATTCATGCAGTGACCAGGGTAGACAGAAGAGGACATAAGATCCCCTAGAACTGGAGTTACAAATGATTGTGTGCCATGTGGGTGCTGGGAACTGAACCCGGGTCCTCTGCAAGAGCAGCAAGTGCTCTGAACTGTTGAGCCATCTCCCCAACACCCCCTTTTAAGCTTTAAAGTTCATTTATGTGTGTGGGTGTATGTGTAATGGGGGTGGGGTTGTGCATGTGCCACAGAGAACATGTGAAGGTCAGAGGAGAACTTTGTGTGTGGAATTGATTCTCTCCTTCCATCTTTATGTGGGATCCAGGGATTAAATGTGAGTCCTCAAACTTGAGCAAGTCCATTTTCCCACTGAGCCATCTCACTAATCCCACCATGGAGATCTTGCTAGAATTTTCTTTCCTTCTCATACACAGTTTTAGCACTGTGGCCAGAGTGCTCTAATGAAAAGAGAGAAGAGTGCCTGGAGGTGATGTTGGGGTGGGGCACGGTGTCTCAGCCCGATCATCCCAGCTACTTGGGCATCTGAGGCAGTAGGACCATGAGTTCAAAACATGCCTGGACTATAGAGTGAGTCCGGGCCAGCCTTGGCAACTTAGTGAAACCCTATGTCAGAAAACACAGAGAAAGGGATAAAATCTAAGGTTTAACCATGTAGAGAATCTAAAGAAGCCTGCATTTGTGTAAGAGGAGAACTCAGTCACCAGCATGGAATGTGGGAACAGAACAAAAGAGGTTCCCTGAACCATCTTGTTCTAGGGATGGGGAGGGAAAGGGGGGAAGGAAAGAGGGAGACAGGAAGTGGGGAGGGAGAAATCTCTAAGTAAAATTTAGCATCTGTGTTTTAAGCATCTGCCCAAGTGGGCAATGCTGTGTCTGTTTATGTTCATAAACATGACCTTCAAAAGGCTTCATTAACATTCCTCCCCCTTTAGGAGTGGAATCAAGTTAGAACTCACAGGCAAGACCAGCAAGGACTTGGCGGGTTCCTTTCCGCAGGCTCTGTGGGGGAGGCTGATGGTTCTGTCTGATTACAGAGGCTGCTGGTCTGCCTGGAAGAATCCATCTATATCCACAACATTAAAGATATGAAGCTATTGAAGACCCTCCTGGACATCCCCTCAAACCCAACAGGTGAGTGCCAGCAAGAGTACTGAGCTCCTCCCCTCCCCAATGTGAAGGTGCTTCATTCCCAAGCTGCGTTTTTACATCGCCTGAAAAACCTGAGCCCAGGGTATGCTTTGGGGGTCTTAATGGTGTTTGAGTTGAACATGCATTTGAATGGTGACAGATTCGAATTATGAAAACCTGTGGTCCCTGTGGGAAGGCTGTGCAGCCTGCCTGGTAGCCCAAGAGAAGCATCCTTCTTCAGGGACCCATGTAAGCAAATGGGCCGGGGCATGTCAGATAGATGCGTGGGAGATTTCATGCATCTGATGTTGAAAGGTGTTTACCCCTAATGCATTTTTGTGACTGTTCATTACAGAGTAGGTGTGATAATTAGAAGCAAGTTTTAACTTGGTATGTTTGCACGGTTAGTTAGCCAGACCATCTGAACTACAGAGAAGGTGTTTTCTTACATGATTTTTTTTTTTTTTTTTTTTTTTGGTTTTTCGAGACAGGGTTTCTCTGTGTAGCTTTGTGCCTTTCCTGGGACTCACTTGGTAGCCCAGGCTGGCCTCGAATTCACAGAGATCCGCCTGCCTCTGCCTCCTGAGTGCTGGGATTAAAGGTGTGTGCCGCCGCCGCCGCCGCCGCCGCCGCCGCCGCCGCCGCCGCCACCACCACCTGGCACGTGATTTTTAAAAATACATTTCTCAATGTGGGTAATATTCTAGAATATTGAATTTGGTTACATTCTCAGAATTTACCATCGTATGTTAAGCTTCTGGTGTTTAAGATTGGAAGAGTTTGGATGTGTTAGGATGAAGTCGCAGATGATGGGCATCTTCTGAACTCGTGGAGCTGAAAGTGAGGGAGCATGAATCTCTTCCTCATGGTGTGGAGAGTCGTCCCCCAGGGCAGTCTGTGTATCTAACAGCCCAGACTAATACTTACGAGTCATGGGGCTGGAGAGATGGCTCAGCAGTTAGAGCGCTTGTTGCCCAGCACCCACCTGAGGTTCACAACTATCTGTGACTCCAGTTCCAGGGCGTAGATACCCTCTTCTGAGATCTGCAGGCACTAGGCACATACAGATACATAGGCGTACATACAGACACACACACACACGAACATGGTGCACACACATACATGCAGGCAAAATATTCATACGTATGACATCTTTAAATCTAGAACTATTTCAGTGAAAAAATGAATATTTAGTTTTTAAGAATCTGTGTTCTAACTTAGTATCACTAGATGACTACTTCATTTTACTGCAGGTTTCCCAATTCCATGACTTTCGATGCAATTTCAGAATCTGTGTTGCCCCACACAACTGGGTGAGGCTTTTTGAGCCCGGGGTTCCTAGTTTGCCATCAGGATGACAAGCGAGTTGTCTCACAGCCGAGGCTGAGCACTAACCTGGATAAAGCTTATGAAGGTGACCAGGACAGCCTAGCCGCTAACCTCTCCCTTGACTGGTTTCCCTCTCTTCTCCATGGTTTCAATGTCCTTGCTGTTGATATCAGGGCTGTGTGTGCATGTGTGTGGCCCTGGGGATTAAGCCCAGGATCTCACACATGCTTGTTGGCACATTCACTAGCACCAAACTACTCCTGTCCCCTCTAAGATGCGGAGACTGGGGCTGGAGAGATTGCTCAGTGGTTAGAACTTACTGCCCTTCCAGAGGACCCATGTTCAGTTCCCAACACCCACATGGTCACACACAACCCTCCATATAACTCCAGTTCCAGAGTATCCAATGCCTTCTTCTGATTTCCAGGGGCACCAGACATACATGTAGTATACATATATGCAAACAAAATACTCATGACATAAAAATCAATAGGTAAAAACAATGTTTGAAAAAGATGCTAAGGCCGTTATGAAGGTCTGAGGGAGACTGAGAATGGTGGTGGTGGAGTGCTTGGCTAGCTGCCCAAGACCACGTGTTCCATCCCCAACACTGCAGAAGAAGAGCATAAAGCTCCAGGAGTTAATGACTTTGAAGCACATTTCACCAGTGTCTTCGATAGAGTTTCTATTGCTGTGAAGATTCTTATAAAGGAAAACGTTTCACTGAGGCTGGCTTACAGTTCAGAGATTCAGTCCATTATCATCATGGAGATAATCATGGCTGCATGCAGGCTGTCATGGTGCTGGAAAAGGAGCTGAGAGTTCTACACCTGGATCCACAGGAACAGGAAGTGAACTGTCACACCGGGTATGGCTTCAGCATATATGAGACCTCCTCAAAGCCCGCCTCTACCATGACACACTTCCTCCAACAAGGCTACACCTACTCCAACAGGGCCATACCTCCTAGTAGTGCCACTCCCTGTGGGCCAAACATTCAAACACATGAGTCTATGGGGGCCACGACCAGGAAGGGATTCATAGTGGTAAGTTTACCATTTTAGGAATAAGGGTTGAACCAGTCTAGGAGAGCATTTATCGTAACATTTCTGTGTGCTCAGCGGCAGCAGGCCCCAACAGGGACAAACCAAAAGGTTTCCGCACCCAGATATTGGTTTCTCTGCCAATGCAATAAATCAGATTACACCGAATTAATAAGACCAAGTTTAATCTAAGTAAAGCAATTCCCAGGTGACTCTTGGGGGAAGGAAGCAGGAGAGAAAGCAGGTTTAGAGACAGTGTCTTAAATACTCTGTAGACTGGTCCTGTATATCTCCAGGGGAGGAGCTGACCCTTGGTGGGCTTCCTGAGGGGCGGGGTCTGGAATGGGAGGAGTGGACTCCCGAGCAGAGATTCCCACACAGACCAACCCTCTGCTTACCTGGAACTGTGATCCCAGCTTTTCTGGGTCAGTGGAAGGCAGAGGCCTTAGCACCCTGTGGCAGGGGTGAAATGCCCTCACCGTGGGCTGTGGACAATGCAAGAGAAGACATGCTTTTCTGATGGGCATATGAAATGCTGGAATCTGAGCAGAGGTCCCAGAGGAGAGAGCCTGAGCTCTACTTTGCTGGATTTGGGAAGAGCTGAGCAGTACATAGAAAAGTACACTCTAAAGTGAGTACATTTGGGGTACAGTTAGCCCATTTCCTGCCTCGCACTCATCTCTTGGCCACTGGGGCTGTGTGTTGGAGCAGCTTCAGCGCGGAGGCATGCCCCACTACAGGAAAAAGGAAATGACTCCCTTCTTTCTCTTAGTCTTAATCCAGTATACACACATGTGTCCCGTAATGACAGGAGGAGTTCCAAGAACTGTGTCGTTAGGTGATTTCCTCACTGGCAAACCTCACAGTATCCCTGTGCAAGCCTAGATAGTGTAGCATAGTAAACTTGGGCTGGATGGTGAATACTATTGTGTATATGGTCTATTCTTGGCTAGAATAGTAGTTTACAATGTATGACTGTATTTGTTTCTCTGCAGCCAAGAAAACTCATTGGTTGTCTAATTTTTGCAGTGAGGGCAAAGCAAGGAGAAAAATAAATTAAAAGCAGGAGGTTGTTTGTGCCCTTGATGAAAGGGAATAAGTCTCTTTTCATCTGTTTGTTGAGATAGGGTCTTACCTTATAGCCCAGGCTAGCCTCAAACCCTCAATCTTCCAGCCTCTGTCTCCTGAATGCTGGGATTAGAGATGTGCATCCCCACCCCTGCCAACACTAAATCAACCACTTTTATCTCAAGAAAAGTTAGAGCCAGGAGTTGTGATGCACACCTGTAATCCAGCTTTCAGGAGCCTGAAGCAGAAGGATTACCCATGAGTTGGAGGCCAGTCTGAGCTACATAGTGAGTTCCAGGATAGGTAAGAGCTACATAGTTGAGACCCTGCTCCTTGCTCCCTGCTCCCCTGCAGAAAAACATGAAAAACATTTTCTTGGTCTCAGATAAATATTACAGCAGGATTCAGGGATATGTTGATTAATTCATTTAAAAGACAGACAAGTTAATCACAGCACCATTTAGATGCCTGATGTCCTCTTAGAGCAATAGCACCAAATAGTCTCAAATCCCAAATTCACAGTTCCCACCGCTGCTTCCTCTGAACTGCTTTTTCCTGGCAGTGAGCTGGGGTGATGGGTTCCGGCTTGTGGAGCTGCACGGAGTGGAGGGACTGACTTAATGTGTGAAGAAGCCAGGGTCCATCTGTGTTTGTGTGAACAGCCAGCCTCTCTCTCTAGTCCCCCTTCATCCTGAGGGCAGCTCCCAGGTCAGCACATCAGTCTGTCACTCTGTCCTGTGAAGAACATGACTCCTCAGATGCCCAGAGCTTCCTCGTGTGGTTTTGTCTTGTTTGTTTTCTAGGGAAACACTGCCTCCTGGCTTTAGAAATCCTTCCCTAGAACACAAGGAAGACAGAATGCTTTGTCAACTGGCCTTACCACCCAAGTTTAGTGGCTGGGGGTCAGTTGGCTCTAAGGTGCTCCCTTCTTTGGTGCTCAGTGTCTAAGATGACTGTAAATGTCCTTCCTTCTCTGTCTGTAGGTCACAGATTACAGGCTGTTTCCTTTCAAGGGCTGGCCAGCCTGAGCTGAGAGTTCCTTTCCCGCCAGCCAGCAGTCTGTGCCCTGAGCAGTGAAGGGTGGCAATCTCCACGAAAGCCTGCCAGTCATAGAACAGCTGGATGGGGTGGAGTCACAGCTGGCGACCTCTGGCAGACAGAGGGAATATTCTGGATAACACGTCAGTGGGTTCATAGGAGAGCCGGTGGTCATTGCCCAACACACCACCTTTCTGTAGATGGAAATAGTGGGGGCCATAAACAATCCCCCACCATTAGGGTAGCAAAAGTACTTACAGTACATGGGTCAGTTCTCTCTCTTTTCTTTTCTTTTTTCTTCTTTTCTTTTGAGATAAGGTCTTGTTCACCCAGGCTAGATTCAAACTTGCAATCCTCCTGCCTCAGCCTCCCAAGTGCTGGGCTGACAGGTATGCACCACCACACCACACCACACTCAGTGGATTTCTTGACTTTTTTTTTTCTTTCAGGAAATTGTAAAGCATCTTGATTGAGTGGTGCTAAGGCTGGAACCCAGAGGCTTGTACATGCTACACACACACCATA